GTGGTTCCATCCAGGGCTCTCCCAGACGTGTGCGCTCAGAGACCTTGCTCATCGACCGTGTGGCTCCTCTACTGAGAAGGATGCGCCATAGTCAGAGCATGGGGTTAGACAAAAGACTGACCCCTGAACCCAAACCCACAATTGAACGCTTCCTTGAGGCCTAGTCAGTAAAGAAAATCCTAATAGTCTTCCTTATAAATGTGAATAGGTCTCTAGAGATGTCATAACCACTTCTCCTTCTTTGTCTTATTAGTTTAGGGAAGCAACGTCCAGGTCTGGCCCAAGACAGGGCTGTCTGTCGGGTCGAGCAGGGCTCGTTGGAGGACGAGGAGGGTGCGGCCAGCAGCGGTTATGTTGCCGTCAACCTCAGCCCCGTCCCACAAGACTCACAGGAGTGGGTTCTAGTGGAGCTTGAGGGTGGTTGCGGTTCAGCAGGATCTAAACCGGATGAGGAGGAACGCTCAGGGATCTCGCCACGCTCCTCCAGCCCCCTCGCCCTCCCTCGCACCTGGTCCGACCCCTTGCCTCAGCGCGCTAGCATTCTGAGTGGTTCAGCAGAATTCCACACAGCCGTCTGCCACACTGGACCTCCATTCGCCAGACTACCGGGTTTGCCTGGCATAATAGGCTTGTCTGGATTAAGAAGACTGCCCACAGTACAGCCTGTGTCAGTGGTCCACAGCAGGACTCATCTTGAGCAGGTCAGTATCTCATGCTACATTCTAAAGTAGATGTAATAGCATTTCTAAACAAATAAGGTCACATTCTGAGATATACAGTAGGTATTGTGAGACAACAATTAGGCCTATATTATGACAACATTCCTTGTCATTAATTTTAACATAATACTGTAATTATGTCATAAAATATGTTTGATTGTATAATGAAAACTGTAGCAGTAAGCAGTGATCGTTTATGGGTGCATTGCAGTGGTTTCACTGCAACATCACTATGTCTCAGATTTTGGGATTACTGTATATCAAAATCATAAATAGACCGAAAGAGAAGCTGACACAAAGCTCCAAGCTCAGAAACTTTTTGGCCAAGCAGATGATGGTACCATGAAGAAAAACAGATGTATAAGAGATTTTCCCTGCAGAGCTCTATTAATAATGTCCTTGTATGTATCTATTTTAATGTTATTCCCTTCATAGTCATCCAATTCAGTGCTACAGCCCGTTCAGCCTCAGCAGAAGACAGGAGACGACTCTCAGCCTGACAATCCATCAGGCCCTGCGGAAAAAGAGCACAACCACGTGCCAGCTATTTCACCCTCTAAAAGCCCTAACAAGCCAGATGAAAACATTATCTCTGTCAAGGCCTCTGACAAGGATGTGGAGAGTGACTCTGGCTGTCCTGACGGTGGGCCTTCTTCAACTCCCAACCAGGGTGAGATGACTGGACACAGTGTTGATGCAGCTCCAGCATCACCTCGTGAACTCTCACCCCGAGCCAGCCGCATCCCCGTCCGTGACCCAGACTCTCCAGCCCGTAGGGCGTTTCCGGCTCCACTTTCTCCATCTCTGTCGCTATCATGTGAGCACTTCCCCTCAGCGCTGCTGCGTGACCGGTTCACCTTCCCCACTGGTTCTCGAGGGTCAGACTGGCAGGCAGAGGAGCCACTCTCTCTATCTTCCTCCTCAGGACCTGTGTCGAGCAAGAGTAAAATACCAAGACCCATAAGCCCCACACTAGTGCCGGATCAGCTGTCTGCACGATTTATTCCACGACCACCACCAGGCAAACCACCCATTCGCACAGGTGGCGAGAACAGGTGAGAGGAGCAAGAATTTTAATATTGTTTTCATCATGTACCAAGTTAGAAGGTTCCCTGTGTCAGTGTATTGAGTTGTATCTTCATGGGCTGCATGCAAAAACAAAATGTACAACGAGACCAGCGTAGTCCACAAACATCCTTATAAGCTGGCTCTTTTTAGAGAATGACCAATTTGTAGTCAATTCATGAACAAATTACTCTTACGAACCTGTTCTTTTTAGTGAATTCAAGACATATGAGACGAACAGGGTTGTCCAATTTACAAACAAATGACTATTATGAGCTGGATCTTTATAGTGAATCAAATACAATGAGTGCGACTAGTGTAATATGATTAATGAATAAATAACTCTTATGAACCAGTTCTTTTTTACTGAATTCAAAACATATAGTTAAACCAATGTAGTCTGATTCATGAACAAATGACTCTTATGAACATATTCTTTGTGGTGAATCAAAAATATACAGCACAACCAGTGTAGTCTGATTCATGAACAATTGACTCATTCTCACCTGTTTTTTTTTTTAGCGAATCCAAAACATGCAGCACAACCAGTGTAGTCCAATTCCGAAATATACATCTAAATGATCAATGTTAATCTAGAAACATGAGGTCAATGTTAATAAATGAACGTTATTGTCTTTTCAGACGCAGACGCTACCGCATTCGTGCTAGCAGCACAGGTGACACGGACCTCTTGGACAACCTCTCTCAGCTCATGCAGGAGCGAGGTGCACTGGCTGTCAGTACCTCACGTTACCAACGCACCACCACCTCCTCTCTGCAGCGCTCGTTGAGCTCCTCACCTTCTCGTTTTGAGGGGGGTCACAGCCAGTCACCAAGTAGCTGCTCTGCCTCCCCGCCTCCTCGAATCAGTGACTTGACAGTAAATCACGGGTCAGGGTTCTGCCCCAGAGTCAGAGCAGGAAGTCCTGAGAGCAAAACCACCACCAAAATGAGCAAATAAAGAGAAAGCATGTAACTGTTGGTGTGAGCTGTCAGTAATTTGACCGGTTTCAAAAGTGGTTTTTACCGTTTGATGAACTGTAGCGTTTTTACAAGTGGTGTTTTGCTAAGTAGAGCGATAAAGGACCAGGTGTTTGCCGGTTGGTTGTGATTACTTGAAAGCATCATGTTTTGGACATGGTTTGGACATTAGAAAAACATGAAATATTAACATGCTAAATGTTCCAGTGACGCTGTGTAACTTTCTTCTAAACAAATTGCCCATTGCATATCATTGTAATAATTTGTATTTATTTTTTTAACACTCTATATAATTTGTGCCATATTCTTTTTTTTTTGTTTGTTTTTGCTATGTAAATTGTTTATTTTCTCATGTTTTTTTTGCACTTACATACCTTAACACATGTCTGATTTTGAACATTTACTATCAGTCGCTATCAGTGAGAATGTGAAAACAATGGGGCTGCACTTAGTAACTCATTGTATTCTGTCAAATAGTTTTGTAGGCACTCCAGATACTCTAGCCTTACATTTTCTGTTTTTAAATCATTGGTCAAAGCGTTTAAGCTTAAATGCTAATTTCAACAGATAGCTATCTATACCGTGTAATATCCTTCATGTATAGGTACATCTGGTGCAAGCAAGCATGTGTATATATGTATTTCAGGGAATGTATGTACTGTAAACTGTATCATCTATAGAATGTATATATTTATTTATTGGATGTGGTTACATACCTGAGGTTGTAGCATTACTACTAGCTACTGAGTGAATTCGCCATCACATTAAGGGTCAGCAACCTTGCAGTTGCCAAGTATAATCTCTTCCATGCCTGCAATATCATACTAAAAATCCTTGTAAATAGTCATAACGTCAGTAAGGAACTTACCAATATATTGCAGTGAAACACTATGGACCCTCAAAGGAACTCTTGATTCAAACACTATAGTCCCATTACCATATTACTTGAATACATCGGCAAGATGTCTGTTTGATAAATTGGCTGCTTATGCCAAGATGCTTCTGCGGTTTTTGGGATTGAATTCTCTGTCATGGCATTTATTGAAAGTTGTCTGAGGAGTGCGTGACCCATGTGATGTACAAAGAAAGGGATTGTAGATACCAAGTAATTACCACGACTTCATTGTGTGCTGTGCAGATAGAATAGTTGTTTTGTTCTGGATGGTCTATTTTGTCCTCCGGAAGTACTTTTACTTTAAAAGCATCAGTATAGGCCCACAACTGTGCTACATCGGATGGTTTATCTTAAGAATTGTACATAATCTGAACTGTATATAGATATAAATATATTAAGAAAAGGTAATTCCACCTCATGCTTCATGTACTGTATTTTGCTAACAAACATTTCAATCATGCAAAAAAAAAAAAGTTACTATGTTGGAATGTATATGTATTCATATTAATGGAATAAACAAGTACTCTTAAGTACCTGATGCTTGATGTTGTGATAATATTATGCTGTCATTAGTTTAATAAACATAAAATGCATTGTTTCATAGTTTATTTAGTACAAAATATTTTGTTGCATTAACACTAGAAATACAGTATGACATATCTACTTTAAATGTATCAGTAATAACAAGCAGGAATCAGTTTTTTCTGGTGTGTACCATTTTTTCCATATTTACCATATTTGATGTCTCCAATCTTGACATCTGTATATCTAAGCGTTGCATAGTAACAAAAATCCTGTCTGTGGTTAACATACTGATAATCCACTCAAACCTAACCTTTCTTGGTCAGTCAAACAGATATTCCCACTGCAGACTCATAATTGGCAACAGAGCAACATTGTGCATATTAAGATGGGAAAAGAGAAAGCATTTTAACATGGGAAATAACACTTTTATGGAAGCTTGTTTCTGTCAGTAAATAAAAACAGACAAGGTAATTGCAACTTTTTATCTCACAGTTTGGAAAAACGTCTTAATTGTGAGATAAAAAGTTGCAGTTACCTTGTCTATTTTTTATTCTGTGGCAGAAACCAAAAACAATTGTTAACACAGAGATGTAAACTCAGAATTCAGAGTAAAAAGTCAGAATTGCGAGGTGTAAACCCATAATTGCAAGAAAGTTTATATTTCACAATTCTGACATTTGTTTTTTCTCAGAATTACGAGAAAAAAGTGAACTGTTGAGATAAAATTTCGCGGTTTTTTTCTTTTTCTTTTTCTATTCTGTGGCAGAAATGGGTTTCCATACACTTTGAACAGAGTGAGTGAATCAAACTTTGGATGATTCCTAATTAGGTTTAATATTTGTGAATGACTCTCAAATTCATGTATCTTTATGAGTCAGAGCTGTGCTATAAACCTTAGTGCCTCTCCTGAATCAGTAGAAACAAAGCACAATGAATTCTGCGGTATATTCTCCTGGATTCAACGTGACAGTGTGTCGTTCTCCAGTGCTAAGCGTATGTAAAACGTTGCATGTGTCATGGCTCCCTCCATCATGCATGACCATGCTCTTTACAAAGAAGACAATTCCCCATCTCTGTGTCTGTGCAAATACTCTAGAACAGAGGCGCTGTTTGTCTGGGATCGTCCGGCAGCACGCTGATGGAATCCTCTGCTTTTCCACACAACATGCACAACATTGTGTATTCCTAGAAGAAAAATAATAACAAATAATGTACTATTTACATACATTGGCAAGTATTGACTATTTTTTATCTGTTTCCTATTCTAATATTTTCCATATAGTTGTTAAATTAATCTTAAATTGATGAACCAATATTGTTTTTTATGACTGATAAAATAAAACTCTTGTTTTATTATCCAATAACTGTTAATCAGTACAGATTAGTAATTGTTACTTTCCCTTTTTGAGACAATTCAAGTGTTTGTATAGTGCTTTTCACATTTTTTCAAAGCAGCTTTACAGAAATGGCTTGTTTCAATGTCACAATTAAGTAATCTGTTATCAGCCAGAGATGAGTATATCATAAGTCATGTCCATAAGGCAGTAAAATAACTAAACACAATAACTAAATAATTATTAGACTACAACAGTAATAACAATATTAATTATGAACATTTCTTTTTATTATCATTATTATTAATCATTAATCCAATAAGTTATATAATTGTAATATTCTAATTGTAAATAATAATAATAATAATAAGTTTCACTTCACAATAAGGTCCCATTAGTCAACATTAGTTAATGCATATTTATTCATATTTGTTAACATTACTTAATAAAAACACAACTGTTCATTGTTAGTTCATGTTAGTTCAGGTATATTAAATAATATGAATAGTATGGTACAACTTTTGATTTTAATGATCTATCAGTAAATGTTGAAATTAATTATAGAAATATTCATTTTAAATGATTAATAAGTTCTTTATAAGTATTTTCATTGTTAGTTCATGTTAACTAATGTTAACAAATGGAACCTTATTGTAAAGTGTTACCAATAATAATAATATAATGAAAAGTTTAATGGAAAATTTATTTTTATCTTTGCCAACAACTAATAAAAAAGGAGTGAATACTGGTTAAAATATATTAATGATCTCTAATCAATAATCAACTTAAAATAATCTTATTCCTAACCTTTTCGCATTCAGTTATTGAATTGAGGGCATGGCTCACCTGATAGTCATCCACCACAGTGAAGGTGTACTCGTGTCTTGCTATGACATGATCACAGTTCTTGCACATATCTGAGGAAAAGCAAACGTTACTGATGACAAATTTGACAGAATATTTACATACACTGATGTGACATGACTCACGCAGGTAAGTGACAATCTCCTCCTCATCTTCATTCACCATCGTCCTGTCGCTGATCAGCACAAAGTCCCGCTGGTGACAGTTGGCGCAGCCGAGAAAATTCATAAGATATGAACCATTCTCCAGACAGGTATGACCCTGTGCACGTAAGAGAGGAACTTAACACCTTAAATTGAGTTACAAGCAAAAATATAAGGAGTCGAACACTCAATAAATACTCATTAATTTATGCCGACTTGAAGTGCCCAGTGCACACAACATAAACAACTCAAACAAACTCAGCTTCCTTCGTGCTATCAAATTGAATTTTTAGAAAGAGGTAAATGCCTAATGCAAGTACAGTTAGGTTACAAGAAGAAAACTTTTGAAGTATTCAACACACAGGAGTGCAGTGATATTCATCTGTGGCTGGAAAACAACAACCAGCGCTGTTGCCGCTATCCACTTTAATGCCATTAAAGGAGCACATAGCAAGTAGCAGAAGGATTCGCATAAAGTGTGCACACCATTGATCATGAACTCACCCTGTCGGGATACTGTTTCTGCACACAACCAGTACACATTTCGCATCAGACAAATAACAATAATATATACCGTTCAGATTAGAAATACTGAGACGCTTCCGTGTTCGTCTTCTTCTGTGAATTCTCTGTACGATCTGATAGTATAGTGCCTCCATCGGTGCACTAAGTAAAGTAAAATAAGTACGGGGCGAAATCATTTCTACAATAAAGTCTATATGGGAGCTCAAACCATTTTATTGCATTTTGACTGTAAGGGATTCAGAGAAATGTTTAATTATTTTTATTTCTGAATATAATAAACAGAAATTGCATTTTGCACATACATTTTTTAGCAGATTTGCACCACAATTGTTCATTTACATAAACTGAACATCTTTATTATTATTATTATTATTAATTGTAAAATGAATTAATGGCCTAATGGCCACACCACTAGGGGGAGCATCCTCCAGTTCTCGCGATGTCTGTATCAGTGCAAGAGCACCTTTAGTGCTTACAGCAGTGTTGCCATGTCTGCTGAAAATAAACGAAAAGTTCTTTAAAACGTGTGAAGTCACGAATTACACTTTTACAACATACATTTTCAGAAAGCGTTTTTAGTCTTATTTAAATTTAATTTGGTCGCTTATTTGGAATTATTTTGATCAGAGAATTTGCGTATGTTGGACACTTGTTTTATTCAGTAGCTTGTTCTTGCGAGACCTAGCAACTGTATCCAGTCAACATGGACTGATTCAGCAAACACGTGGACGGAACCAGTTAGCAAAAAAATACCAGATATCTGATATAGTATGCAGTATTTCTCCAGTATGGAGTGAAGTGCCTATATGGATAATACCTGAAGCAAAAATTGATCTGGAGATTTTGGACAAGAGAAAGGAATGGGAGAAAATGGGAATACTCAAACGTAATGTTAATAATGCAATAAAGGCAAGATTTAATGAATTAAATTTTAATGTTAATATGGCGAATTCAAAGGAAAGGAATTTTAATAGGATTTTGTTGGGTTCCAGCCCATATAGGGGTAGTTGGGAATGAAATAAGTGATGAACTGGCTAAAAAAAAAAGGAAATTGATATTAATGTCCCATTAGGTAAAGGGGAAATTAAAAGTATTACTAAGAGGAATGTTACAAGGGGATGGCAAGAAGTGTGGAATTTAGTATAAAAGCTGTTCTGTTTCGGTTTGGAGTTTAAGGGGTTCAGTGCGGAGGACGGAGGAGCTGAACACGCAGCGCCAACCGATACCTGGACTCTTGATGGCTTCAGAGTTGAGACAGAACAACTAATATAATAAAAGAAAATCCTGATTGCATAATAGCACAGTAGGTGGCGATATGCGCAAAGATTGCAACTCGCCATAAAACCAAGAAGAAGAAGAAGAAGAAGAAGAAGAAGACGAACACGTGGACGGGCGTCGCAACACACTGAAAACTCATAAAAACAGCTTTGTTTTGTTTTTTGAAAGGACTCTCTTTATGACTATTATCTCTTAAGATTAGTATAAAATTGATCAGTAATCTCTCAGTTTGTGGATGGCCTGATTAATGTTCAATGACTGCTCTCCATGTCTAGCATAGATTAAAATGTATAAATATCTAATCGATAGCTCTATTTTGTTACTCAAAATATTGTGTCCGTGGTGACTGTGATCGAGAAATTCCGGCCGGGTTTCTTTCATTTAACGTTACGTTGAGAAACAACACAATGAGCAAAAAGACCAAGAAAACCAACGTCAACATTGGCATTAGATGTTTTATCTGCGGTCAGCAGTACGGACAAAAGGTTTGTTGGTTTAATTCTATTTGAAACAGTTTTATCTGATGATTTGTTGTTCTCTGTTGCATCCTTAAACATTGTATGGTCACTTTAGTATTGTGGCTTCAGATTAATTAAAAAACACAATAAATATGTGATAGCCTATTTTTTTTGTGCGGGATATATCGAAGGACCCGCCCCTTTTTAAGTTTTAGATTTGTATTTCATAGCCAAAGATTATAGAATATAAAGGGACTTCGGTCATAACCATGAACCATTATTTGGTATTTGCCAGTCTGTTGCACGTGATATTACGGGGCGGGACATTGTAGATAATATTTGATTGGACAACACCAGTGAGTGCAGGATGAGTCATCAATATTTTTGGTCTATTGCCAGTTTAGAATGAAGACATTGCATTAAAACAATGATGTGCACATTTATTTTGCATTTATGCCTCTCGCTGATAAGATTGTTTGTTTTTACAGGTTATGGATATGCATATGCATTCTTATTTCCACCATGAAGCAATTGAGAAGATCAAGGGCAGGTATGGAATTACACAGAACTGATTTTCGTGTCTTTCTCAGCTATATAAAGTAAGATGAAATAAGCACTGTTGTTGTTGCTGCAGTGAACAGCTGCATAAATGTTGGGCATGTGATGTATCTGTGATGGGACTAGAGCAGTACAAGGAGCATATTGCCACCCGTAAGCACAAACAAAGTCTGTTTAAACTCCATGGTAAACGAAATAAAAGAAAACCTCTTCAAGTGGACTACAATATTAATCTGACTGATAATGAATTAAAAGCCCTTTATGATCTAAGACAGCAAGACAGGTAAGTTTATCTTATACATTAAATACATCTATCTCTATTGTTAATAATATAAGTTTGAGTGGATAAATTGCTGTTTAAAATGAGTTTGCTCATTATTTTATTTATAATAATTTGTTTGTGAACTAGAACCAGAGATGAAAACAATATTTTTATCCATTTAGGAGAGAAAGAAAAAATCTGGACAAATGTTCTATCTGCCTTCATAGTTTCCCTGAACAGGTCAGTAATTTTGTGTTTTGGTAGAGTAATGGTAGAAGTCGAGTTGGTGGAGTAAATCAAAGCATAAATGGTAAAGTTCATAATATACAGGACAGTACTACCTTCCCTATGAGAATAACAATGTTGGATGGAGTCTAAAATATTCAGCTTTATAATTTTTCAGGGAATTAAAATCATATTATCAGTAAGAAATACTTTTGTGTATGGTGTAATGGTGGACCTTTAACTCATTGGTGTTTGCATTCCCAAATTAAATGTTAAATGCAGCCATTTTAGGCTGTAATTTTTAGGCACATTATGGCTATGGATATATACATTAGATCTATTCTTTTATAATTAACTTTGTCTTTGTTGTAACAGGAGTGGGACAAACATATGCACGGTATTGTCCACCATCAGGCAGTTGAGCAAATGAAGGGCAGGTATGGAACTAAAAAGTGTTGTTTGTCATGCCCTGCTTTAAAAGAAAGTTCACACAGAAATGAAAATTATTTCATCATTTACTCATTTAAAAATGGACAATAAAGACTTATAAAAAGGTTTATATTTAAAAATAAATGGTGTTCTTTTGTACTTTCTATTCATCAAAGAATCTTTTTTTCAACATTGATAATAATAATAAGTGTTTCTTATTCAGTGTATTAGAATGATTTTTTGTTCAAATAAATGCATCCTTGGTGAAGCTCCAAAATTAGCCACGATAGCAGCTTAGACATTCTGCTTAACTCCTTTTGAGTTCCATGGAAAAAAGGCACAATGATTACAGGGTGAACTTCATCTTTATTAATGCAATGCCAAAAAATATATGCTTTTTTTCTTGCAGTGAACACGAGCATAAGTGTTGGGCCTGTGAAATATCTGTGATGGGAATTTCAGCATTTAAGCAGCATATTGACACCCAATATCACAAACAGAAGCTATTGGAATTCATTAAGAATAGAAAACTTGGACAAAATACAGTGGACTACAGTGTTGAATTTAATGAGCTTAAAGACCTTTGTGCCCAAAGAGATCAACAAAAGTAAGCTTGTCAGCTAGTTCATGTGGTTATACGTTTAATTATACATCTTTTGAATGGCTGAATGATTCAGATGCATTTGCGTTTGTCAGTTATTTGGTCTGTTGCATTAGACGTTTGCTGTTAGACTTGTTGTTTCCTTCTTGTCAGATTTATGCAAAAAAAAGAGAAAATTGAGAAGTGGAAAGAAGCAAAAAGACAGAAGACATGGAGGTTCATTCAGCCAGAAATCACAGCTGAGAATGAGCATTGTACAATACCTTTCATGGCGAATGAGGAGTTCACAGCTGACCAGTTGCTACCATCATGCCAATTCTTCTCCCTTTGGGAAAATCTAAATGACCATCCAGCATCTATCCAGTATAACCTAAACCTGCCTATACAGAGAGAAGAGAGCTTACTTAATACGAATAGATCAAATTGGCCACTTGTGAAAAGGCCTTGTCTTGAGAGACCATCAGAAAATATTCCTCAAGAAATGTCTGCTCAGGGCACTCGTCCCAACCCTGATGGAAAAGATACAGATGTTTGTGTGAACGACGTGACTCCAGAAACTGATGATGGTACTGCTGCTGAGCCTACATGTGCCCCTGGACTGGTCCAAATGAGGATGGAGGCCAACATACCCAGCTTGATAGCAACAGGTGGAGTTTGTTTAACACGGAAGGCAGCAAGTGGGAATGAAGATGCTGTTCCTAATCCTCCACTACAAAAACACACTCATTCCAAAAAGTCTATGTTGAAAGTAAACAGAGCAACATCACAGAGTGAGCAGAGCATGACCAGGTGAATAAATTATGAATTTCAGATGCTTTTATTTGCTTAAATTCTTTGAGACTCATTCTTTCATAGTCTCTTGAGAGAGTGTACAGTTGTCTCTAACATTTAAACCTTAACATCCTTTTCTCCCTAGAGAAGGCATGATTGGACAAGAGCCATACGTAGATTCTCTTCCGCCTGTATCTTTACTGGCTGAGATGTTTGAAAGCCAGACATCAGAAAATGACTTGGAGATCATTGAAAACGTTCAGCCTCATACTGTGCATGTTAAGAAAAACAAATCAAATGAGTGTGACACAGAACAGGGAGAAACATCACTGGAGCATCCCAGCAGCTTTGAAGCCATCTCCTGCAATGTCCAGAAAACCAAGAAAAAAAAACAAGTATAAGAGTTTTAGAGTGAAGTTGTATCTAATAGAAGTATCTGGAATTCACAGAAATGTGTCTTACAGTTTTATTCATTTATTTTTACAGGATGTTTCACATAATCTGAATCCTAAAACAAACAACAAAATATCAAAAAAAAGTGCGTATTCAATTTTATCACTTTAATTAACATGTCTTATTTAAATGACATTTTTTAATTATCTCATTTTATCAGTGCAAGAATGCAAATTTGGATTTTCTATTTTAAATTTTATTAGGTGAATAAGTACATTGTACAAAATATCCTTGTTTCACATAACACAAATTAGTCATGAATTATTTAATAGATGTTAAACCTCAATCAGCTGTAATTGATAATTCAGCAGTGTCTCTACCAGTAACAGTACATGTCATGATGTTCATCTGTGTGTATATGATTCTCAGGGAAAGTGAATAAGTTGATATCGCTGTCTTTGAAAGAAGAGGAGTTGAGCAGCTCTTTGGAGAATGTAGGTGAGCAGCTGTTCCAGGCGTATTCCACCCTGCAGAGCGCATACACGGAAGTTCAGCATCTACTGTCTGTTAAACAAGAGGTACGTGGCTGTTCCATTAATCTGCATTGCAAACTCTTTTCATACTTCAATATTTTAGTAGCCTACAATTTCTCTTTAAGCCTACACCATATTATTGTTTTCCACAATGTAAATTATTTTTACTGTTCTTGATGACGTTTCTAACTAGCAGCTTTGCTCTTAGTAAGACAAAGACATTTTCCCCCCACATTTCTTTTCTGTAGCCATTTTGTACTACAATTAAACTCTTAATGTATAATGCTCTGTAATATATATATATATACAGCCCACTGTATATATATATATATATACTAATGCAATTGAATATTAATTATACTGTAAATTACACAATGACTACAATAATCATATAATTATTTTTAAACTATAAATTCCTCTGTTGTCAGGTTACCTCAGAGATGGCCTCGCTCAGGGCAAAGCGCATAAAGATTCTGCAGGATATAAAGAGTAAGAGCTCTTTTAATGTCTCGTTTATTTATTCAGTTCAGCTTATGTACTAACAATGTATGTATTATTTTTATTTCAAGTCTGAGATTAATATGTAATATTGTGCATGTAATCATGCTTGTTAATAATTATGCATAATTGTTGTTTATGCTTGAAATGTTTTGACAGATCCCGGTGACCTGCAGGAGTTAAATACCTCCTGACAGCCGTGCGAACCTCTGAGGAAGGATTCCTCTTTAGCAACTCACTGAGCCTCACAGAGCAGCTGAACCACAGGTCCCACTCCTAGAAGTATCTGATGCTGGACCTACCTCTCAGTGCACAAAACTGACCTCTGAGCATGTATCTCATCTGAGAGCATAGACTGCATTGCACAGCCCATAACTGCACCATTTTAACAGACTTTTGTTGTAGTTTTATAGTAGGTTTATGGCAGTTCACATTGGATTATGCATTTTTTAAAAGATTTATTTATGCCGTTTTATGCCTTTATTTAGATAGGACAGTATAGGTCGACAGGAAGTGAAGTGGGTGTGAGAGAGGGGGATGGGATCGGGAAAGGTCCGCGAGCCGGGACTCGAACTCGTGACACCCGAAGCGCAATGGCGCTGTATGTCGGCGCACTGCCTACGAGGCCATCGGCACCGACACATTGGATTATGCATTAATTTTATTAGATAGATGCAGATTAATTCTAAAGGAAAATGTTTTGCTCTGATTCTGGCATGATAATGTCATTTCTATCTTGACACGTTTAAAAAAAAAAAAAGTTTGCTCGAAAGTTTTTGCATGAAAGGAGATCTCAGAGTCCAGCAAAGCTTCCATCCATCTGAAGATTCAGGTCAGTTAAAAGACTTTCAAAAAAGCATCAGTTGAATATGTTCATTCTTTGCCTAGTACAGTAAGTAGTGTAGTAATATGGAATCATCAGTTCAGTTAATAATGCTTACAAGACATCAAACTAACATATTCATTCTTGCTCTCAGAGGTTTATAGTTGTTTTATTCACAGGAATCTAAATAATATTTTAAAATGTTCAAAATAATTCGTTGTTTAACTTGTTTTTATTATCTGCGTTCTTGCTACTCCAGCACAAGAAGCTTTGTTTATACTCAAGGTTAATCATATATTTGTCCATTGCTTGCATCATGACACACATTTGTGACCCTGGACCACAAAACCAGACTTAAGTTGCTGGGGTATATTTGTAGCAATAGCCAAAAATACATTGTATATTTTTCTTTTATGCCAAAAATCATTAGGATATTAAGTAAAGATCATGTTTCATGAAGATATTTTGTAAATTTCCTACTTTAAATATATTAAAACTTAATTTTTGATTAGTAATATGCATTGCTAAGAACTTCATTTGGACAACTTTAAAGGCAATTTTCTCAATATTTTGATTGTTTTGCACCCTCAGATTCCAGATTTTCAAATAGTTGTATCTCGGCCAAATATTGCCCTATCCTAACAAACCATACATCAATGGAAAGCTTGTATATTATATATTCAAATGACCCTTATGACTGGTTTTGTGGTCCAGGGTCACATTTATTGTACTATTTTGTGCTGTTAAGTTGAACACTTTATTTAGTTGAATTATTTACAGTTGCACAGTAGCACACACATTTTTCAAGGATGGGTTCAAATGAGTGTCATTTTTGGCATGACATTTAAAGGGGTCATATGATGCTGCTAAAAAGAACATTATTTTGTGTATTTGGTGTAATGAAATGTGTTTATGCGGTTTAAAGTTAAAAAAACACATTATTTTCCACATACTGTACATTATTGTTTCTCCTCTATGCCCCGCCTTTTTGAAACGCGTCGATTTTTACAAAACTAATCGGTCTGAAAAGCGAGGTGTGCTCTGATTAGCCAGCTATCCAGTGCGTTGTGATTAGCCGAATACCTCAAGCGTGAGACGGAAATCTTACGCCCCTCACCATACTGTTTTTCAATATTACAGCGAGAATAAAAGTTACTCCTTCTTTCTTTGTGTGAACATTTGGGCGGTGTTATGCAAATCTTCCCACATAGTGTGGTAGATATGTGGGGGCGTGTTCGAACGAGCCGTTTTAGGTAGGTGTGGCTAACTCTTAACTTTTATAAAGAATATCTCTTTGGATTTGAGACTTTAGTCTTTGCAACTTTACAGATCTTCTTTATGCACCAAGAGCTTGTAACACTCTAAAGAGAAAGGAAAAAATGAAATCGCATCATATGACCACATTCTGTCACCTTAAACATACAGTCGATCAAATAAGTGTTTTACAAGACCTAAATGAGCTGACATGGTCCATTCAGTAGCTCATAATCAAACCAGTTTGTTCTAGACCTGCATTTGCTGAAGAAAGAAGCCACAGTGGTGTATAGTACAATTGATTCGAATCCAGATCTTTCTCCACTTAATGGAGGTTGAAAATGGGAAAAGACCACTGACTTTCCACCAGGTTGATCTTATGTGTTTGTGTCTTTAGGCATACATGGTCAGTTGAAGCCACTGTGTATATAGTATAGAAAACAGGAACGTGTTAGTGTAAATAGCAGTGATCAGTACAAATATGACCAAATGTGTTCCAATAATAATGCAAATATGATTAAAATTTATGCTGCTTGTAAATCTTTATTCTGTTAATATTCAATAAACAAATTAAGAAAAAAAGATGCTGCTCACCTCAAAAACATTGAGCTTGATAATGCCATCTCCATCCTTGTCAAAGGCTCTGAATGCCCCTGTAGAAGAATCTCTTTTACTACAAGTATCCGATCGCTACAAACTTGCATCTCAAAATCTTGGTTATAATGGCTTAATGAACTTAAAGTTATTTTAGAAGAAGAATATGTCTGAACAGAAAAGACCATCACACTTACTGAACATCCCCTCAAGTCGCACTAAGCAGCTAATGTAGCTGTCAAAATCCATCTCCATGTGTTCGTTGGCGTATCGCATGCAAATAATGTCATACAGCTGGTTGTTGAGTTGAAAACCTGAGGGACAGAGAAATATCTCAGGGCTCAGCCCAGTAAAAATGTGTATATCAAGTTAAATAAATACATCTGACTGCCTGACCTGCTTCAGTAAGAGCGTTCCTCATCTCAAAACTGCTGATCGTACTGGATTTGTCTGTGTCAAAACGCGTGAACACCAGCTGAAAATAGTTTACAGAGAAACCGTGTGTCCTTGGCTTTAACATTTTGTTGTAATACAGTGTATTACAAAAGAACATGACTGGACATGCTTTATGAAGGCGAAAACAATTGCATACCTTCCACTTTTTAATCTTGTTCCACAAGTGTTTAAACTCTTGCAGGTTTAGGTGGCCTGTTCCATCAGTCTAAGGTGTCGTGGTTAAGTTACATTTGTACAGCTGTGCCATTGTGCATGTGACAAATTTTAAACTTGAAATAAAACTATTTGTGACAAATCATCCAGTCCACAAGGGGCACCGTTCACATGCTTGTAAAAAGTAATTTCAATCTACAGAGAGGAAGATGGGAGAAGGATGTATAGCGGTGCGTTCCAATCGGTATATATCTCTCTCTGAAGGACACTTTGGAGTAAAAACAATCATGGCCGTCATATTGAAGGGTCGTTCCAAACCGAAGTGCTTAAAACTGGCCACTTAAAAGGACTCTTCGGAATGAAGGATTTCGAAGGGTACAACTGATGGACACTTCGGGCCCCCATGATCCTTTGCACAGGGAAGTTGTTTGGCGTCACAGAATTCAACTTCACCTATAAATGTATGTATGGTATTTTTCTATACTACTGTAATATTTATACAAGTTAGATTTGGTACATTATTATGGTCAAAAAAATCGCATCATATGACCACATTCTGTCACCTTAAACATACAGTCGATCAAATAAGTGTTTTACAAGACCTAAATGAGCTGACATGGTCCATTCAGTAGCTCATAATCAAACCAGTTTGTTCTAGACCTGCATTTGCTGAAGAAAGAAGCCACAGTGGTGTATAGTACAATTGATTCGAATCCAGATCTTTCTCCACTTAATGGAGGTTGAAAATGGGAAAAGACCACTGACTTTCCACCAGGTTGATCTTATGTGTTTGTGTCTTTAGGCATACATGGTCAGTTGAAGCCACTGTGTATATAGTATAGAAAACAGGAACGTGTTAGTGTAAATAGCAGTGATCAGTACAAATATGACCAAATGTGTTCCAATAATAATGCAAATATGATTAAAATTTATGCTGCTTGTAAATCTTTATTCTGTTAATATTCAATAAACAAATTAAGAAAAAAAGATGCTGCTCACCTCAAAAACATTGAGCTTGATAATGCCATCTCCATCCTTGTCAAAGGCTCTGAATGCCCCTGTAGAAGAATCTCTTTTACTACAAGTATCCGATCGCTACAAACTTGCATCTCAAAATCTTGGTTATAATGGCTTAATGAACTTAAAGTTATTTTAGAAGAAGAATATGTCTGAACAGAAAAGACCATCACACTTACTGAACATCCCCTCAAGTCGCACTAAGCAGCTAATGTAGCTGTCAAAATCCATCTCCATGTGTTCGTTGGCGTATCGCATGCAAATAATGTCATACAGCTGGTTGTTGAGTTGAAAACCTGAGGGACAGAGAAATATCTCAGGGCTCAGCCCAGTAAAAATGTGTATATCAAGTTAAATAAATACATCTGACTGCCTGACCTGCTTCAGTAAGAGCGTTCCTCATCTCAAAACTGCTGATCGTACTGGATTTGTCTGTGTCAAAACGCGTGAACACCAGCTGAAAATAGTTTACAGAGAAACCGTGTGTCCTTGGCTTTAACATTTTGTTGTAATACAGTGTATTACAAAAGAACATGACTGGACATGCTTTATGAAGGCGAAAACAATTGCATACCTTCCACTTTTTAATCTTGTTCCACAAGTGTTTAAACTCTTGCAGGTTTAGGTGGCCTGTTCCATCAGTCTAAGGTGTCGTGGTTAAGTTACATTTGTACAGCTGTGCCATTGTGCATGTGACAAATTTTAAACTTGAAATAAAACTATTTGTGACAAATCATCCAGTCCACAAGGGGCACCGTTCACATGCTTGTAAAAAGTAATTTCAATCTACAGAGAGGAAGATGGGAGAAGGATGTATAGCGGTGCGTTCCAATCGGTATATATCTCTCTCTGAAGGACACTTTGGAGTAAAAACAATCATGGCCGTCATATTGAAGGGTCGTTCCAAACCGAAGTGCTTAAAACTGGCCACTTAAAAGGACTCTTCGGAATGAAGGATTTCGAAGGGTACAACTGATGGACACTTCGGGCCCCCATGATCCTTTGCACAGGGAAGTTGTTTGGCGTCACAGAATTCAACTTCACCTATAAATGTATGTATGGTATTTTTCTATACTACTGTAATATTTATACAAGTTAGATTTGGTACATTATTATGGTCAAAACGACACTGTACTTTAACAAAAATACTTTACAGCTACCTTTATCAGTCTATTCAAACGTTTCGAATACATAGACACCCAGTATACATTACAAATACATATTACATTACATTACATATACATTATATTTAACGTAAAAGGTGATTGGGGGTCAACCAGCATACAAAACATGCGACGAAGGCGTTTCCTTGATCGTCTCGTTAAGGGGACGCAGAAGTGCATTCCAAAAAAAGTTGTTTTTTTTACCCATGCACTTCATCCCTTCGAAGGTCTCACTCTAGAGGGTAAACACTTTGAAGGGATTAGGGCATAGGGATGAACCCTTCCGAATGGAACGCAGGGTAGGTCCTGTCCAAATACCCACACTTGCGATCTTTGCACTTGACCACTTGTCTACTTAATTGATGTATTTCCTGTATTTGGCCCAAGTGTTCAAGTGGGCATGAAGACCACAAGTGTGTGTAGAACTTTTCATTACCCGATGGGACACACTTATAATGTGGTAAATATGCAAGTGTTTACAGAGCTTTATTTTGATTTTCAATACTTTGCATTTAAAAAAAAAAATCTGTTCAGTAGTGAATGAAAATGAATGAGCAAGCAGTTGAGCGTACATCGGTTGTACAGAACACTTCTTATTGCGGTGAATTATAGGATTAAATGAGTGCACTCAATGTCCACTATATTTTTGGACACCATTATAAATGGCTGTTACTTCAAATAGTGCATTATTTAAGAGTATGGGGGCGATTTTGGGCATAGCATAGTTTGTTTATTCATTTGCTGGATTAGGCTGAGTAATTGCTTTTCTTCCATGTTCTTTCCTAAATTTTGAGTAGGCAACCATTTACAAACCCATTTTTGTTGGTTGCCGGATTTCATTTCTTTGCTTTAGAAATGTTAAGGTGCAGTCACATTCACCGTTGTTCAGTGAATTTTCGAGTTCAATATCCAGTCATTTCAAAAGTATCTACGCGATTGGGAATTTCGTTTGAAGGCAATGTGCAGTCACATTCACCGTTGTTCAGTGAATTTTCGAGTTCAATATCCAGACATTTCAAAAGTATCTACGCGATTGGGAATTTCGTTTGAAGGCAAAAGTTTTCCCCATGCAGATTTCCCAACGGGTTCAAGTTGGTCATGTGAATTCACTGCACTGACCAACAGAAAGCTGCTGGGTTTTACGTCTATGTGAGCTGTGCTTCATACATTGCTATACAATGACAAAGTAGACTGGACCTTTTTTGCCTGCAAAATTTCATTGGCAAAAAAAGGCTAGATGTATGAAGCACTGATCACACAGATGGCATTTTCAAACCCAGCTGCTTTCTGTTTTTTAATGTGCTGAATTCATGTGATAAACTTGAGAATGAGCAAAATCTGTGTGGGGAACTTTTTCACCCTCACGGGAAACTCCTGATTGTGCTGATTCCTATTGGCATGACTGGATTTTGCCCAATGTGATTTTGCACATACATACATTATTTGCCCATAATGCACAGCAGATCTTATGAAGGATACATCCATAAGTGCAATCATACTTCTGCAGCTCTCCAGACTGAACCCCTCTGTTTTCAGCGCTTTATCTGAAGAAAGGAATGGATAGATAATCAAAACCCTACAGACAAAGACATACAAAAGAGAATCAGTGGCAGACAATAAGATTTTACTCACGTTTGGCAACCACTCTATTAAGGACAGTTCTGAGTTCATTGGCATTAATCTGCATGTCCTGCAAGAAGAAAGAGTCACAATGATGTGAAGTGAATATGGCATTCAAACATGCATTTCCATAACTCAACTCACGTCTCCAGCTAACTGCTGAAAGATGGCTCTGAACTGCTTTTCCTCTTCAGTCTCCTCCTCAAATGGCTGAACATGAGAAATAAGAAATACGGAATGTACAACATACTAAACATCTGTGTGCATGTGCCTTTAAACAGTTCAGTGTTTAGATTTATTTTCTTCACTTTTTTCATAAAAAAGAGCAAATCCACTTAATCTTTGCTTATAAATGGTCTTTAGATTAGAGTTTTAAAATTTTCCTTTTCTGTGGCTGTTGCAAATAAGAATTGCATCCCAACAAGGGAGTTTTGTGGTTATTATTATGATTCTGAGTGTCATTATGAATTATAGTTTTGACATACTGTACTAGCTCATGCTGTGCACATGCTGTTTGTTATTACTGAAGCAGAACAGAAAATCAAAACAGAGCTGCATATCTACAGCAGTGCAGCCAATTAACAACATCACAATTATGTTTTTTTCTCCTTTTTATCATCTGACGTGGGCTGACATAGAATATCAAAGAAGAAAGAAAAGAAAATGATGGAACATCATCTCCTTTCCATATTTACCTTGATTTTCTTCTTGACATCATCCATCTGTTGGTATAAGAAAGTGAAACATTATATATTAAAAATATATATATATATTCTCTTTTGCGATTTTGAAGAGGAAGAGAAGAAACAATCTGGGTGTTACTTCTTTTGTTTGGTTGTACTAAAACTTCTAAATGAATGATCTGCTATATTCAAGAGAACAAACTACTTGACATAGTGATTCATAGACAAGCACAGAGACAGGATGAAATATGAGGTGCCGCAGAACATGACAGACAGAGACAGGTGTGGACTCACCACAGACTCCGCCTCAATCTCTGCATCTATAACCCTGCGAGAAAACATGCAGCTGTCAGCCAAATACAGGAGCATTAGCAGGTCAAGAGGTTCTTTCAGAAACATATCTGACCGTAACAAGAGCTTAAATTTGAAACACTTCATAATAATTTTCATTGAAAAGTTTTTATAGAATAACAGATACATGCTTTATGTACATTTGTATATGAAGCATTATATATATATATATATATAAGGTTGTCAATCAATTAAATTTTTTTATCTAATTAATTACATGATGTGGTGATTAATCTAATTAATTGCATAT